TACAGAGAGGAAGGAAGAGGGATAGAGAGTTAGAAACATTGATCAGCTGCCTCCTGCACACCCCCCACTGGAGAGGTACCCGCAACCAAGGTACATTCCCTTGACCGGAATCGAACCCTGGACCTTTCAGTCCACAGGCCGACGCTCTATCCCCTGAGCCAAACCGGTTTCGGCGAGGATACATTGTTGTTTTTTTTAAATATATATTTTATTGATTTTTCACAGAGAAGAAGAGAAAGGGATAGAGAGTTAGAAACATCGATGAGAGAGAGTCATCGATCAGCTGTCTCTTGCACACCTCCCTACTGGGGATGTGCCCATAACCAATGTACATGCCCTTGATCGGAATCGAACCCAGGACCTTTCAGTCCGCAGGCCAACGCTCTATCCACTGAGCCAAACCGGTTTCGGTGAGGATACATTGTTTTGATAGGTAAAAGCTGGACAGCCCTGCCTCTTCAGAGGTATATAATGCAGAAGAACGGGTCATCTTCATTGACCCATTGCCCATCTACCCCGTTACTTTTCTCTTACTCCTTCAAGTGTGGATTCTGCCTAACTGTCCCACACACTGCAGCAGAGACCTCCCGAAAAGAGGCTTAAGGGTTTGAGCTTGGCACTAGACATTTTGTTAAAATGGAGGGAGAGACAGGCAAAGGATCAGCCACAGCAGTAATCTGGGGGCCATCCCCTGGGAAAGAAAAGGAGGTGCAGTAAACAGTCTGGCCATTCTAACATCTGGTTCCTTCTCATCTGGCAAAATTTTAATAGCATCTAGAAGATGATGAATGAAAGGGCTGCCTTTTACATAGTTTTCTTTCTTTTTTTGTAATATTTTTCAATGTGCTTTATTTTCTTTTTTCTAATCCTTTATTGTTGAAAGTATTACATATGTTTCCCTCTCCCCACCCCCCCGCCCTGCCCCAGGCCCTTACCACCCTATTGCCTGTGTCCATGGGTTATGCATATTTGAATACAAGGTTTTTGGTTGGTTACCTTTTGCCCACCCACCCTCCCCTGCTTCTTTCCAAGATTCTGCACCCTGTTCCATGCTTCTGTGTCTCTGGATCCACTCCATCAGTTTATTTTGTTAATTAGATTCCACTTATGAGTGAGATCATGTGATACTTGTCTTTCTCTGACTGGCTTATTTCATTTAGCATGATACTCTCCAGGTCCCTCCACTGTCTCAAACTGTAAGAGATTCTTCTTTTTTACTGCTGCATAGTATTCCGTGGTATAAATGTACCACAGCTTTTTTTTCCACCCATCTACTTGGCACTTGTGCTATTTCCAGGCCTGAGCTATGGTAAATGTTCTGCTGTCACATAGTTTTCTTTAAACGGCTTGAGATTTGTTCTGTTGGGGTGGCTCAGTTGATGAGTATTGCCCTGTGCACCAAAATATTGCTGGTTCGCTTATTGGTCAGGACACTAACCTGGTTGTGGATTTGATCTCCAGTTGGGGCACGTACAGAAGGCAACCAATCATTGATGTTTCCCTCCCTCCGTCCTTCCCCTCATGTCCTGGGATGAGGATTAAAAAAAAGGGGGGGTGGCTTGCCTTGGCTGGTGTGCTAGTGGTTAGAGTGTTATGTCTGCCTATGCACCAAAGGGTGGAGGGTTTGATTCCCAGTCAAGGGCACATACCTGGGTTGCAGGTTGTGTCCTGGGCCCTAGTCAGGACACGTGCGGGAGGCAGCCAATTGATATGTCTCTCTCTTTCTTTCCTTCCCTTCCACTCTCTGTAAAAACAAAAACAAAAACAAAAAAACAACAGAAAAATTATTCTCTGGTGAGGATTAACAAAAAAACAAAAAATTGGCTTGAGATTTACTTTTAATTGAACATTGGTTTGATATTTGGATCTTAGTTTAATCTAATTTATTTTTTTTAGGATGATGGTTCCCAATGGAAGAATAGAAAATGTTAGTCTAGCTGAAACCGTTTTGGCTCAGTGGATAGAGCGTCAGCTTGCGGACTGAAAGGTCCGGGTTCGATTCCAGTCAAGAGCTTGTACCTTGGTTGCGGGCACATCCCAGTAGGGGTGTGCGGGAGGCAGCTGATCGATGTCTCTCTCACATCGATGTTTCTAGCTCTCTATCCCTCTCCCTTCCTCTCTGTTAAAAAAATTAATAAAATATATTTTTTTAAAAAAGAAAGAAAATGTTAGTCTAATGATGTTTAATATCTAAAATTAGGGCTGACTTGTAATCTCTGGAATGACCCTTTGATGGGTCTTTGGATGAATCTGTATTAATTATTTTTTAACCCAGCTTTATGTTAGTTCACAAAACATTTCTGTCTAAGTGCCTATTAGTCTCACAATTATTATTATTATTTTTTTTTTAGAGAGAGAGACAGAGAGAGAAACATCGAAGTAAGAGAGACATGTCAACTGGTTGCCTTTGCACATGCCCAGGGACTGAGCCTGCAACCAAGGTGCATGCCCTTAACCTGAATTGAACCGGGACCCTTCAGTCCACAGGGCGATGCTCTATCCACTGAGCCAAACGGGCGAGGGCAGTCTCACAATCATTTAAAGGAAGGACAATGGTTCCTATTGTATAGATTTTACAGCAAAGGGGTTCAGAGAGGGTCAGAAGTCTTTGGTTAGCCCTGACCCGTTTGGCTCAGTGGATAAAGTGTCGGCCTGTGGACTGAAGGGCCCCAGGTTTGATTCCGGTCAAGGGCATGTACCTTGGTTGCGGGTACATCCGCAGTAGGTGGTGTGCAGGAGGCAGCTCATCGATGTTTCTAACTCTCTATCCCTCTCCCTTCCTCTCTGTAAAAAATCAATAAAATATGTTAAAAAAAAAATAGAAGTCTTCAGTTCTTCATGCTAGACAACATAATTTTATTACATGTAGCAACTAGAAGAAGTATGGGAATAACTTTTTATGTTTTCATATGCTTAGCAGCAGAATAGGTTTTTGGTTTCTTGTTTTTTGTTAATCTTCACCTGAGGACATTTTTCCATTGATTTTTAGAGAGAGTGGAAGGGAGGGGGAGAGTCAGAGAAACATAGATGTGAGAGAGAGGCATTGATTGGTTGCCTCTTGCATTGGGCCCCCAACCAGGTCCGGTGATTGACCCTGCAATCAAGGTACATGCCTTTGACCAGAATTGAACCTGGGACCCTTCAGACCACAGCCCAGTGCTCTATCCATTGAGCCAAACCAGCTAGGGCAGAATTATTATTTTTTTAGTGAAAGACCATTGGGAGACATTGACATTCCATATTTATTAAACTTCAGCATATATGCTTAGAGTGGCCCGTCACTGCTTCACATTCTCCACCCACAAATAAAAAGTATATTGTTTTCACTGCTCTAAGTATCTAACGTGTATGTCCTGTGATCCAGGAATTGCACTTCTAGAAATTTATCCTTCCAGGTATACTTTCCCACACATGGAAGGATGTGGTCCTAGGTTTTTCATAGTAAACATCAGATACAGCTTAAGTGCTAGGGTAGTGGTTAAATAAATTATGATGCTTCCATATAGTGGGATGTGTAGCTGCTTTCATAAAGAATGAGACAGCTCTATATTTCCTGAAGGAACAAACTCCAAGATACATGGTTTAATGAGAAAAAGAAGATGCAGGATACTGTGTTTTACTGTGTATAACATACTATGCTTGTGTACAAAGGGAAAGGGTAAGTATATATTAACACCTACTTGCTTGTTATACATTAGCTAGTTCAGGAAGATTAAAATTTAATAACACTTGCCTTGTGGGAAGGGAATTAGGTTGTTGGAGAACAGGTGGCATAGAGGGAACTGTCACCAAAGGGCCTTTTGAATCAAGAACTATGTGAGTTACCTATTTTAAAAAATATATTTTATTGATTTCAGAGAGGAAAAGAGAAACATCAATGATGAGAGAGTATCATTGCTAGACTGCCTCCTGCATGCCCCCTTTTGGGGATGGAGCCCACAACTCAGGCATGTGCCCTTGTCTGGAATTGAACTCAGGACCTTTCAGACCATAGGCCAACGCTTTACCCACTGAGCCAAACGGGCTAGGCCTCAGGTACTTTTTTCACTTAACAACATATCTTGGTTTAGGACTACATTTAGGTCAGCACATTCTTTGTAGTAACTACATAGGATTCCACTACATATGTGAAATATATATATATATATATTTTTTTTTTTTTAAATATATATTTTATTGATTTTGTACAGAGAGGAAGGGAAAGAGATAGAGAGTTAGAAACATCGATGAGAGAGAGTCATCGATCAGCTGCCTCTTGCACACCCCCTAATGGGGATATGCCCGCAACCAAGGTACATGCCCTTAACCAGAATCGAACCCGGGACCCTTCAGTCCCCAAGCCGACGCTTTATCCATTGAGCCAAACCGGTCTCGGCCATATGTGAAATATATTTAATTTATTTAATCAGCCCCCTCTTGATGGGAATTGAGGTTGTTCAATCTATTGCTGCCATAACAGCTATCCTTGTATCTGTAAGATAAATTCTTAGAAGTACAACTGCTAGATAAAAAGTATGTACATTTAAAATTTTGATAGATAGTTCCAAATTACTCTATGCAGAGGTTTTTATTTTTAATTTCTTTATCGATTGAGGTATATTTGTCCTCACTATGCAGAGGTTTTAGTAGTTCAATAGGATATAAGATTACTTAGGTTTTTAAAAGGTTTCCAGTTGCCTCAACCTGTAACATAAGCTAAAACATTGGTTGAAAGGAGGGCAAGCCAGTTAACACTATTGGTGGACTAGAGTTTTTATTTTTTCCACTGAAGCTGGTTAAGGTCCTGTGGAAAATATACAGTGTAGTAACGTTATTAATGTAGCTGTCTGCATTTGCTGGTTTACTTTTAGTATAGAAAAAGTAAATTAAAAAATGTTTTAAGTAAAAGAAATGCAGCTGTCAGAGGGTTAGCAAGATGAAAGTGACTTGGGTGTGTCAGTTGCTGTTGGGCAGCCTTCAATGACAACTGTCCTGTCCTTACTTACTTTTGCTTTTTTTCTAGGACCTTAGCATCCTGAGACATCATAGCCTTCAGGGTTGACCTGGTCAGAGTTCATCATGTCCAAGTTAAAAAGCTCCGAGTCAGTCAGGGTGGTGGTTCGCTGTCGGCCCATGAATGGCAAGGAAAAGGCCGCCTCATATGACAAGGTGGTAGATGTGGATGTGAAGCTGGGGCAGGTGTCTGTGAAGAACCCCAGAGGCGTGGCTCATGAAATGCCCAAGACCTTCACCTTTGATGCAGTGTATGATTCGAATGCCAAGCAGTTTGAACTCTATGATGAGACGTTCCGACCGCTTGTGGATTCTGTTCTGCAGGGTTTCAATGGGACGATTTTTGCCTATGGACAAACAGGGACTGGGAAAACCTACACAATGGAAGGAGTCCGTGGTGACCCTGAAAAAAGAGGGGTCATCCCTAACTCATTTGATCACATCTTCACCCATATCTCTCGATCTCAGAATCAACAGTACCTGGTCAGGGCTTCTTACTTAGAGATCTACCAAGAGGAGATCCGAGATTTGCTCTCCAAGGATCAGACCAAAAGGCTTGAGCTCAAAGAGAGGCCTGACACTGGAGTGTATGTGAAAGACCTGTCTTCCTTCGTCACCAAGAGCGTGAAGGAAATAGAGCACGTGATGAATGTGGGGAACCAGAACCGATCTGTCGGTGCTACTAACATGAATGAGCACAGTTCGCGTTCTCATGCAATTTTTGTCATCACCATCGAGTGCAGTGAGGTGGGCCTTGATGGAGAAAACCACATCCGTGTAGGGAAACTGAACCTGGTAGATCTTGCTGGCAGTGAACGGCAAGCCAAGACTGGTGCACAAGGGGAAAGACTGAAGGAAGCGACCAAGATCAACCTGTCCCTTTCAGCCTTGGGTAATGTCATCTCTGCCCTGGTGGATGGCAAAAGCACTCACATTCCATATCGGGACTCAAAGCTTACCAGGCTCCTCCAAGATTCTCTTGGTGGCAACGCTAAAACTGTGATGGTGGCCAACGTGGGGCCTGCCTCTTACAATGTAGAGGAAACTCTGACCACTCTGAGATATGCCAACCGTGCCAAAAACATTAAGAACAAGCCAAGGGTCAACGAGGACCCTAAGGATGCCCTCCTTCGAGAATTCCAGGAAGAGATTGCTCGGCTCAAGGCCCAGCTAGAGAAACGGTCCATTGGCAGGAAAAAGAGGCGAGAGAAGCGGAGGGAAGGTGGCAGCAGCAGTGGGGGTGGGGAAGACGAGGAGGATGAGGGAGAAGAGGGTGAGGAAGAAGGGGATGATAAGGATGATTATTGGCGGGAACAGCAAGAAAAACTGGAGATTGAGAAGCGGGCCATTGTCGAGGACCACAGCTTGGTTGCAGAGGAGAAGATGAAGCTGCTGAAAGAGAAGGAGAAGAAGATGGAGGACCTGAGGCGGGAGAAGGATGCTGCCGAGATGCTGGGTGCCAAAATCAAGGTAATGGACTCCTCTTGGGCCTTTGTTTTCTTTCAAATCTTTTTTGTTTTTATAAAAAAAAAATGACATGAGGGATGATGTTTCTTTTGGTTTTTCATTCCTAGTAGCTCCATGATATCCAGTGCCCAATAAACATTTGTCAACTTGTATTGAATGAGGAAGAATAATTTTTCAAATTTAAAAAATTTAAATATTGAATTCATAGTAAGAATAATTATTACATATGTGCAAGGTATAAAAAGCAGCATTAAAACTAACACCCATATTATCCTCCATCCACCTAGTATAAGAGATAGAACAACAGCTTTATCTTTATAAATTCTTTGTGTCTTTCCCCACCTACCAGGTAATCATCTTGGAATTGTTGGTTAATTTTCTCTATAGTTTCCCATATATGTATATGTCTCTAAATAAAAGATAGTTTTAGTTTCACATCGTTTTTGACTTTTATATAAATGGATTCTCACTGCTGCAATTTGCTTTTATTCACTCAACGTTATGATAGTGAGATTTATCCACATTGATGCCTATAGCTGTGATCCATTCATTCATTATTACTGTTCTGAGACTTGCACGGTATTCCATTCTTCTGAGAGAATGGGTTGTTTCTGTTCTCTGCTATAAACATTCTTGTACTTGGCTCCAGGAGAACAGGTACATACAAGAATTTCTTGTCTGACACTGCTAGATCCTAGGATATGTACAGCTTCAACTTTACTAGATGATGAGACGTTGTTTTCCAAAGTGGCCCTGTGAATTGAAACTTCTACGTGAGTTCAGGTGGTTCCTCATCCTCACCAACACTTAGATTATCAGACTATAGTTTTTTGTACATCTAGTGAATATAAAATGGAAATTGGTGTGTGTGTGTGTGTGTGTGTGTGTGTGTGTATATATGTATATATATATATTAGTGTGTGTGTGTGTGTGTGTTTTAATTGATTTTTAGAGAAAGAGAAAGGGAAAGGGGCAAGATGGAAACGTTGATGTACGGAGAGAAACACATTGGCTGTCTCCTGCACTCCGCATACTGGGGCTAGAGCCCACAGCCCAGGCATGTGTCCTGACGGAATCAAACAGACAGCTCTTCGGTGCACAGGATGACACCTAACCACCTGAGCCGCTCCATCCGGGCTCATGGTGGTTTTAAGATGCAGTGCAGTGATCACACAACATACAGGACCGTTTCATCACCTCCCAAATGCTCCCTGTAGTCAGTCACTCCCCCCAGCCTCCAGCTGTGCAGTTGCTGACCAGTATTCTAGAGCAAGGAGGCTCCCTGTGTTGAATCTTCTTTCTGGTGGCAGGACGTGGGCTGTCACAGGGCGTTAAAGGCAGAGGAGGGTGCAGGGCTCGCCCTGGAATCCCAGGATGACCACTGCCTGACCACAAGCCAGAATTCCTTTGACATGTTGGGTTCTATCGCATTGAATTTATGCAAACTTTTTATTTCTACTCTAAAATGTATGTATGTTTATTAATTTAAAAAGGACAAGTGACCTCTCTCTCACACCCCCCCCCCCCCTTCCCCTGCTATATGAAGCCATACTTTATCTGTGGCTCAGAGTAGCCCTCACACAGAGTTGGGTACTAATTTACTTCAGAGACAGGGGACCTTTCTAGGACTTTCGAAACCTAATGTGAAAATGGATTCATGTACAACAGTTAGGAGATTACTCTGTTTCAGGGAGGGGCTTTCTAGGGGTTCCAAACACTGCCCCACCCTCCTCACTCCTGCACTTGAAGTGTGACTGGGAGTGCCCATGTTTGATTTGCATGCTATGTTTTATGATCACACCTGTTATCCAGGCCCAGGAACACCTAGAGTCTCTAAACTACCTGGTGTGTTTAGGCAACTCTCAGAAGCCAAATGTGGCAGGACTCAGCATTACCTCAAGGTCACTGAATCTCTTAGCACACTTTGTCTATGAGAGAATGACATTACTTCTGTCTCTCCCAACCCCTCACTGCTGTAAAAGCATAGGGCAAAGAATTTAGAACTGGAAGGTGTGTGGGTGTGGATGTGAATGGCAGGGCTTTGGTAGCACTCACCCCTTTGTTTTAAGAAGAGAGGACATAGTCTCAGGGACTCACTGAGAGATTGCAGCAGAGCGACAGATAATGTTTGTTTCTTAAAAGCAAGGTTGTGGAGCTTTTAGATTCCATGCTTTCCAGTGCAAATCATTCCAGTGGCTTCAACCATCATCTAAATGTTGAAGACTCCCAGTCTTATAACCAACCCAGAGCTGTCTCCTGACCCCCAACCTGATAGCCTCTGCCTATTGGACATTTCCATGGAGAAGCCCCCAGCCACTCAGCACCTCTCCTGCCTTCCTTTTCTCAGTCTAATCCGACTCCTAGGAGCTGCCTCTCCCTCTCCCTTTGGGCCCAGTAAGTCCCACCTCTGACTCCCTTCTCATTAGGATCTCTTGGACTGATCATCCCTTTGCTCTCCTCCTCCACTGCTGCCCTAGCCCAGGCCTGGACCCTCAAAACAGCTGCCAGGCTGGTCTCCCTGCATTCAGCCTGCCCTTTTCCAGGCGCTCTCCTGTGGCCTGGGAGCAGTGTTTCTAAAACACAAATCTCATTGTGTACCGTCATGCTCAGAGAACATGTCCATGTTTGCTGCAGTTCTCAGGATCAAGTTTAGTCTCCCATAACAGAGCATTGAGGTTGTTGAACTGGCTGACCCTGATTGCTTTGCCAACTTCATGTATCACCAATCCCTACCCTACCCTCTCACACAAAATTTTTTTCTTGGCTGATTTCTATTTTTACTTCAGCACTCGTGTAGATGTCTCTGAGACAGGGAACTTTTCCTGACTCCTTCCAAAAGCCTGAATTCTCTCCCTCCTGTGTGCCTCTGCCCAATATTACTTATTTTTCCCCCTCATGATGGCTTCTGACCCATAAGTAAGAATGGGCTTACTTGTCTGTGGCCTCAGTGGACTCTCAGCGTTGCTATTCAGACTGAAACATTTTATTTTGTTAAAAGAAAGCCAAAGTTCGTGTATGTCTGGAGAAGATGTATCTTCTGTATTTCCAAAGTGGAGTCCCCTCAGCCCCATCGCAGTGATGAGTAAGACACAGCTGAACACAATATATTTTTCTCCTGAGCCCACCCCCGTTGCCTCGGTCCAGGAAGAGGGAGAGGCAGCTCCTAGGAGTCTCCTCTGAGAAGATACATTCTGAGGGAGGCCATTCACAAGATGGATTCTACTTTTTTCGCAGGCCATGGAGAGTAAGCTGCTTGTGGGAGGAAAAAATATAGTAGATCATACCAACGAACAGCAGAAAATCTTGGAGCAAAAACGGCAGGAAATTGCAGAGCAGGTAACTTTTCATTCCTGTTTGGGGAGAATGTGGAGGGTAAGGCACTTTAATGCTACAAAGCAAATATCTCTTGTATTAGACTCTCCAAGGGGAATGGAAATGAGCTGTGGTAGCCTCTTCCTAGTGGGAGACTGTGATCTGGAGCAGCCCTGCCCTGTATTCTTGTGTAGAAATATTCTCTAGACAAGCTGATGAATTTTGGAATGTTGCTCAGAAACGTCGAGAAAGAGAAATCCAGCAACAGATGGAAAGTCGAGACGAGGAGACCTTAGAACTTAAAGAGACCTACAGCTCGTTGCAGCAAGAGGTGGACATCAAGACCAAAAAACTCAAAAAGGTATACAAGGGACCAGGCCAGGCAGAGGTGTCTTGAGATTTGGGGGAAAGGGAGAGCGGGTTGTTCGGAGGGCCCCCCTCCTCAACTGCTTCTCCCCGGGTTCCAGCTCTTCTCCAAGCTCCAGGCGGTGAAGGCAGAGATCCATGACCTCCAAGAAGAGCACATCAAGGAGCGGCAGGAGCTGGAGCAGACTCAGAATGAGCTCACCAGGGAGCTGAAGCTCAAGTAAGTTCTGGGCCTTCCATGGCGCCCCCAGCCACTTGCTAAGAAATACTTCCCGGAGGACAGGGTCCCTTCTCTCCAGCTCATCTCCTGTCACTTTGTCCTCATTGTTGAGAAAGTCACTTTCTGTCTATGGACTTCATCTGTGAACTGAATGATTTCACTACATGATCTCCAAGTTCCCCCCCACTCTGCCTTCCTAAAGCCTTCTGGCCTCACCTTTATCTATTGATAAGAAGGAATTTATTAACTAGAATTTTCTGAATGGTATAGAGAACACCCAAATACCCATCACCCAAATTCAATGATAAACCATCTTTTGTCATTTTTCATAAACATATTTGAAAGCAAACCTTACCTCATGTTATGCTACTCCTGCATACTTACATACCTGACCACAATGAAATTTAAAAAAAAAAAAAAATTTTATTGATTTTCTACAGAGAAGAAGGAAGAGGGATAGAGAGCTAGAAATGTCGATGAGAGAGAAACATCGACCAGCTGCCTCCTGCACACCCCCTGCTAGGGATGACCAGCTGCCTCCTGCACACCCCCTGCTGGGGATGACCAGCTGCCTCCTGCACACCCCCTGCTGGGGATGTACCCGCAACCAATGCACATGCCCTTGACCGGAATCGAACCTGGGACCTTTCAGTCCGCAGACGGACGCTCCATCCACTGAGCCAAACCAGTTTCGGCCACAATGAAATTTTTAAAAAGCTTTATTGAAATATAATTCACATATTTTATAGTTCACTTATTTAAAATACACAAGTGAGTTTTAAAGAACATATCTTTACCCCGGGCCAGGTAGCTCAGTTGGTTAGGGCAGTGGTCAACAAACCTTGGCTCTCCAGCCGCATGCGGCTCTTTGGCCCCTTGAGTGTGGCTCTTCCACAAAATACCATATGTGAGTGCGCATATACAGTGTATTGAAACTTCCTGGCCCATGCGCAGGAGTCGGTTTTCGGCCTGGGCGAGTCTGTTTTGAAGAAGGGGCATTAGAACACTCAAGGGGCCAAAGAGCCGCATGTGGCTTGCGAGCCTTGGTTTGCCGACCACTGGGTTAGAGCGTTGTCCTGATACACCAACGTTGTGGGTTCGATCCCCAGTCAGGGCACATACAAGAAGCAACCAATGAATGCATTAACGAGTGGAACAACAAATTGATATCCCCTCTCCCCCTTCTCTCTGCTTCCTTCACTCTTTGCCCTCTTCCTCTCAAATAAATTTTAAAAATATATATTTAACCTGGCCAGTGTGGTTCAGTGGTTGAGCATCAACCCAGGCACCAAGAGGTCACTGGCTCATTTCCCAGTCAGAGCACATCTCTTGGGTTGCAGCTCAATCCCCAGTAGGAGGCATGCAGGAGGCAGCCAGTCAATGTTTCTCTTTCATTGTTGTTTCTATCTCTCTCCCTTCCTCTATCTCAGTGTTTTTCAACCTTTTTTGGGCAAAGGCACACTTGATTCATGAAAAAAATCACGAGGCACACCACCATTAGAAAATGTTAAAAAATTTAACTCTGTGCCTATATTGACTATATATAAAGTAATTCTCTTGAATAGGAATCAAATAAACACAAAGAAAGTATTTTATAATTACTTTATTATGAAATATTAAGTAAACAAAATAGTGAAAAATTATAAAATTCTTGTCTTGTCTGCACCTACGGCACACCAGGCAACATCTCGCGGCACACTAGTGTGCTGCAGAACAGCGGTTGAAAAACGCTGCTCTATCTGAAATCAATTTAAAATATGTGTGTGTGTGTGTATATATATATATATTTTTTTTCTTTTTCTTTTTCTTTTTCTTTTCTTCTTTTTTCAGAAAGGGAGAAAGAAGGAACATTGATGTGAGAGAGAAACATCCACTAGTGCATCATGCACACAACATGACCGGGAATCAAACCGGTGACTTTTCTGTTTTTTTTTTAATAAATATATTTTTATTTATTTCAGAGAGGAAGGGAGAGGGAGATTTGGAAACATTAATGATGAGAGAGAGTCATTGATTGGCTGCCTCCTGTATGCCCCACATTGGGAATCAAGCCCACAACCTGACTGGGAATTGAACCATGGCCTCGTAGTCCATAGCTGACAATCAATCACTGAGCCACGTCAGCCAGGCCCAAACCAGTGACCTTTTGATGCATGGGAAAGTGTTCAACCAACTGAGCCCTACTGGCCAGGGCCATTTACTTATAAATTTTAAGATCAGCTTGCCAATTTCTGAAAAAAAGCCAGCTATAATTTTAATAGGGATTGTGTTGAATGTGTAGATCAATTTGGAAAATATTGTCATCTTATCAATACTGTATTCTGATCCATGAATATAGGATATCTTTCTATTTATTTAGAATTCTCTTTTCTGTCAAAACTGTTTTATAGTTTTCAGTGCACAGCTACTTGTACTTCTTTTGTTAGGTCTAAACCTAAATATTCTATTTTTGATGCTATTTATATGGAATTGTTTTCTTAATTTTCTTTCAGGGTACTACAATTGATTTTTTATAGAATATATTGTCTTTCCACCTAACAAAATTAACATTAAGTTTCTTAGTATTTTCTCATACCTTGTTCATATTCAGATCTATATGTGGACCACATATTGCATTTGATAATTATGTCTCTTAATTGTATCTTAATGTGGAGCAATCCATTTTTCTGTTAAGAATTTATTTCCTAAAAAAAAAAAAAAAAAGAACTTATCTCCTAGCTAACTTTTTGAAAAAGTTGGGTCAGGTAGCCTGTAGAAATAGCTCACATTCTGGATTGGTTGATCTGCTTCTTCATGGAATTGTCTAATTTGTGTCCCTGTCTCCCCTATTTTCCTTTAACTGAAAGCCAGCTCCGAAACACTGGTTCTCAACATAGAATCATCTCAGGAGTTTGTAATATGATTCTTGGGCCCACGCCAGAGATTTTTATTTAATTGTTCTAGGACAGGGTCCTTAAACTTCACCTGAAGGGCTTGTTAAACACGGATGGCTGGGCCCCTTTCCCAGAAAGTTTCATTCAGTGTCTGGGATGGGACCTGAGAATTTTCCTTTCTTTTTCTTTTTTTAAAATATATTTTATTGATTTTGTACAAAGAGGAAAGGAGAGAGATAGAGAGCCAGAAACATCGATGAGAGAGAGTCATCGATCAGCTGCCTCTTGCACACCCCCTAATGGGGATATGCCTGCAACCAAGGTACATGCCCTTGACCGGAATCGACCCCGGGACCCTTCAGTCCCCAAGCCAACGCTCTATCCATTGAGCCAAACCAGTCCCGGCAGAATTTTCCTTTCTAACAAGGTCTAGTTGTTGCTCCTGCTGGTTCAGTGAACATACTTTGAGAACCATTGATCTGTCATGAGATCTGGGCAAGATATTTTTTAGAACTCTCTAAATGATAATGTGCAGCTTGGCTTGAAAACCACTGGGCTAATGGTTTTAACCAATAATGATTTTTGTCTGGATCTTTTATTTCATTAGGGGTTACAAAATGGTGTTTTTCTGTATCAGTCCTTCCACCACAGCATTAGCTGGAATTTTTCTTTAAAGAAAAACTTTTCTTTTTTTTCTTTTTTCTTTTTTTCCTTTTTTTAATTTTTTAATTTTTAATTTTTTATTTATTTTTTTAAATATATTTTATTGATTTTTTTTGCCCCCCTCCCTCCCTCCCAGACATCCCCTCCCTCCCCAGAGTTTTGTGTCCATTGGTTGTACTTATATGCATGTATAAAAGTCCTTCGGTTGATCTATTATCTCCCCAGATCTTCCTCCCCTCCCCGCTATAATTTGACAGTCTACTTGTTGATATACTGTCTCTATATCTATCTTTTGGTTCATCAGTTTATAATGCTCTTTATTCTCCACAAATGAGTGAGGTCATGTGGTGTTTCTCTTTCATTGATTGGCTTATTTCACTCAGCATGATGTTCTCCAATTCCATCCAGGTTGCTGCAAATGATGAGAATTCCTTCTTTTTTATGGCAGCATAGTATTCCATTGTGTAGATGTACCATAGTTTTTGGATCCAATCATCTGCTGACGGACACTTAGGCTGTTTTCAAATTCTGGCTATTGTAGATTGTGCTGCTATGAACATAGGGGTGCATATATCCTTTCTGATTGGTGTTTCTAGTTTCTTGGGATATTAAAGAAAAATTTTTCAAAGGGATTATTTTAATAACCACATTTTAAATTTTGTAAGGAGCCCTTAAAATTAAATGAATGGCCTTGACCACAGTGGCTCAGTTGGTTATAGTGTCATCCCGTACACCGAAAGGTGCAGGTTAGATTCCTGTAAAGACACATGCTGGTTCTATCCCCAGTCAGGGAGCATACGGTAGGCAACTGACTTATGTTTCTTTTCACAATAATGTCTCTCTCTCTCTCTCTTTCTCTCTTCCTCTCTCTAAAGTCAATAATGTTTTGAAGGGTTGAATTTAAAAAATCGTAAATGTATGTATCAGCCCTCTTTCAAGGTATGCACACCTGGAAAAAAGATCAGAACAAAATATGCCAAAATATTAATAATAGCTATTTCTGAATAGTGAAATTGTGTGTAATATTTTTTCAAAATTTCCAATGTGTAAATAGGCCCTTTAAAATCAGAAAAAACAAATATATGTTATGAAAAATAATATCTTAAATGTCAAGTAAAATGAAGAGAAAATGTCATCTCTCTAGAGTACTGTTTTTGTGTTTTTCCCCCCCCTAATGAGGCATTCTTAGCTCTTACTTCTTTTGAATAAACAGTGAGCCAATCTGTTTTTTCCAGCCAGTACCCTTCACCTCTGCTATTTGTTGTGTGTCTCTCTCTCTGGTGTTTGTTGTGTGTCTCTCGTTAACACCCCTTTGGCATTGTTCTGTCCTGAGGTTCTGAAGGAGTGAGTGCAGGAATGTGGCAGGAGATGGTCATCTCCTTGGTGAGATACAACCCAGTGTGCTCCTCTCTCACTGTTTGCCATGTTCCCTGGCTTCTGACACAAGCTCTTCTCAGGAATGGTCTTTCTTCTGAGAAGTCTAAGGGACTGAAATATTTGGTCCTACTCTTTGTCCTATGATTAGAATGTGAAAACCTCCATCTCTGGCAACAATCCAGCGGATTGGAAATAAGCCAATCAATGAAAGAGAAACACCACATGACCTCACTCATTTGTGGAGAATAAAGAGCATTACCTCTCTGTATCAGGCAGGGACCACGTGTCATTCATGTCTGTATCCCAGTCCTTTGTATGATGGCAGGTTCATAGTACCTGCTTAGTGAGTGTTTGCTGAATAACTTATCTAATTACTCACTACACGTGGGACCAGGTAACCAACACTCCATCTGTATTCTTCCTCTATCTGTATTCACCCCTGTATGTGTGCTCTTACAGGCATCTTATTATAGAAAACTTCATCCCTCTGGAAGAAAAAAGTAAAATTATGAATAGATCCTTCTTTGATGAAGAGGAAGATCATTGGAAACTACATCCTATAACCAGACTGGAGTAAGTTGCTGTTGACTGTAAGTAGACTTTAAGGTGGGCAGGAGGGAAGGAATGTTGATAAGCTGGACTTGGCCGGAGGGGTGTGGTAAGAATGCAGTTTCATTCATTTAAAGTTGGAACCAGCTGCATCTCTGCTTTTGTGATGGCCATAGTTCCACAAGATGAAAATTTAATGAGTATGGTGTTAGGAACTGAGAGACTTTGTTATAGTCAACTAATGACCTTTCCTAAGTTCCTTATGTCAGCTTACCTACCTATCAAGTGAAGCAAGATAGACCAAGTGAGGGGCGGTACGCAGGTGCTCTGTGTGTGTCAGTCTGACACCGTTCTGAGAAGGACTCTTAAGTCTGGGTCCTGCTGGAAAAATGGAAGATGTCCACCAAGGACCCAGGGATGGGGAGTGTTGACAGCTATGCTTCATGCCTACCATCTCAGAAAGCAACTCAAGCAGAAAGTAGAGGCAGCTCCTGTGTCATTTCCATGTCAGCCCTCAATCCAGGGAGTCACTTGGTTCTCTGTAAGCAGACTCAGAGGCTTCTGAGTGCTGGTTCCACAGGGCCGACCCTGGGCTGTGGACCACACGCCAGCCAGGTCTTTAACCACTGCAGTGCATTTCCAGGAACCAGCAGATGATGAAGCGGCCCGTCTCCGCTGTGGGATATAAGAGACCATTGAGCCAGCACGCAAGGATGTCCATGATGATTCGTCCAGAGGCCCGATATAGGGTGAGAAGATTGTTCTCGTCTTCCTCTCCTCTCTTTTAGAGGAGTTTAGACTCATGTAAACACTCAGGCACCATTCTGCAAAGTCACAGAGTTTTTATCCTGACTCTTTCCAGAAGCACCTGAGGAAATTAATATAACACAATTTAAAAATATATATATATATTTCATTGATTTTAGAGAGGATGAGAGAGGGAGAGAGAGAGATAGAAACATCAATGATGAGAGAGCAAATAAATGGATTAGCTGCCTCTTGCATGCCCCACAGTGGGGATCAAGCCCACAAACTAGGCATATGCCCTGACTGGGAATAAAATTGTGACCTTCTGATTCATAGGTCAATGCTCAACCACTGAGCCATGCTGGCTGGGCAATTTTAACAAATAATAACAAATAACAAATAAATAATTATAAATAAAAAGGAAAAATAGAATGAGATTTAGAAAATCAAGACTAGGGAAGGAGGAGAGTATATGCATCCTGCAGGCCAATAAATATTAACAGTAAGTTGTTTTTTTTTTTAAATATATATTTTATTGATTTTTTACAGAGAGGAAGGGAGAGGGATAGAAAGCTAGAAACATCGATGAGAGAGAAACATCGACCAGCCGCCTCCTGTACACCCCCCACTGGTGATGTGCCCACAAACAAGGCACATGCCCTTGACCTGAATCGAACCTGGGACCTTTCAGTCCACAGGCCGACGCTCTATCTACTGAGCCAAACCGGTTTTGGCAATAAGTTTTTAAAAAAATATATTTTATTGATTTTTCACAGAGAGGAAGGGAGAGGGACAGAGAGCTAGAAACATCTACGAGAGAGATATACCAACCAGCTGCCTCCTGCACACCCCTTACCGGGATGTGCTCACAACCAAAGTACAAGCTCTTGACTGGAACTGAACCCTGAACCCTTCAGTTCACAGGCCGACTCTCCATCCACTGAGCCAAACCGGCTTGGCTTAATGATAAGTTTTCAAATGACTCCCTGGGCCCAGCTGGTGTGCCTCAGTGGTTGAGCAAAGACCCATGAATCAGTGGTCATATTTTGGTTCCCGGTGGGGGCATATGCCCTCATTATGGGCTAGATCACCAGTAGGGGGCGTGCAGGAGTCAGCCAATTGATGATTCTCATTATTGATGTTTCTATCTCTCCTTCTCCCTCTCTCTGAAATCTAAAAAATAAAAACAAAACAAACAAAACATTTAAATAGCTCTGTGAGGCCATAGCCAGTTTGGCTCAGTGGATAGTGCATCAGCCTGCAGACCAAAGGGTCCGGGTTCGATTCTGGTCAAGGGCACATTGGCTTCTCTTCCTGGCCCGACATGTGCAGGAGGCAATCAGTGTGTTTCTCTCACATCAGTGTTTCTCTCTGTCATTTTCTATCTGTTCCACTCTCTAAAAAGTCAATGGAAAAAATACTCTCAGGTGAGGATTAACAGAAATGGCTCTTTGGGAAAACTGGGAAGAATGTTGGTGTCAGTGATAGGAGATGGAAATGGATTAAAGAAGTTACGGGACTTCCATTTAGCATAATGTGGGTCAGTCAGGAAGTAATTTAAAGTGCCATAATTTAATGACACAAACATGTAATATTGGATGAGCTATGTATAAGCATTTACTGTGTACCAGGCACTATACTCAGTGCTTTATTGCTTTCTCTACTAAACCCTCCCACCTTACTCTATGCAGTAATCCTTAGTAGAGAGCTGGGAAGTGGATGAACCAGGAAACATGATGTATTGTTAAGTTATAAAACAACTAGTGGCCCAGTGTTTGTGTCGGGGGGTGTTATGTGTCCCTCAGCCCGGCCTACACCCTCTCCAATCTGGGACCCCCTCAAAGGATGTCCTAGTGCCAGTTTATACGGATCGGGCCTAAACCGGCAGTTGGACATCCCTCTTGCAATCTGGGACTGCTGGCTCCTAACCACTCACCTGCCTGCCTGCCTGATTGTCCCTAACTACTCTGCCTGCCAGCCTGCTCGCTCCCAAATGCCCGCCTGCCCCCCTGCTGGCTTGCTCACCCCAAACTGCCCCTCCTCTCTGTCCTGATCACCCCCAACTGACCCCCACTGACGGCCTGCTCTCCCCCAACCGGCGCCCTACTGGTCTGCTCAGCCCCAATTGCCCCCCTCCCGCCCTCGCCGCGCGCCCGCCCCCCCCCCCCCCACCGGCCTGATCACCCACAACTGCCGTCCCCTCTTGGCCTCCAACCGCCTCTACCTCAGCCCCGCCACCATGGCTTTGTCCAGAAGAACAAAGGTCTCCTGGTGTAATTAGCATATTACCCTTTTATTAGTACAGATTGGTACTGCAAGTGTAAATATGAATAAAAAAATCTGGGGCAAAATATATCAAAATGTGAACTGGTTATCCCTGGTTATTAGAAGTACACTCAATTTTAAATTTTCTTCTTTTTGCTTTTCTGTATTTTATAACTATCAGTGGGAAAACTGTATTATTTTGTTAATGAAAGGTTTCCATTTAAAATATATTTGAGTCTCCCTTGGCAGCTAAAGTGAAACAGATTAGAATTAGTTAGCTCCTCAGGTGCTGTCCTTCCTGGCACTGAGTTATTTAAAATAAAGAAAACAAAAGCAAAAAAGATCTATTAGAAGGAGTTCTATATGGTGGAAGATGAGTGATGTGTCAGACAGAATCTTCAGAAACATTTTTCTAGCAGTTTCAGAGGGTGCATATCTTGTTGGTTATTTCATGTCTTAAGTCAAAAACATGCTTTTAAAGCCTACAGATCAAATATGTAGATTTCCAGGAGGCAAACCTGATCCAAAGGTAGAATTTAAAGCAGTGGCACGCAGGTGTTTTTAGCAGTAGACCCAATCCATTAAGAGAAATTGTAAGCAGTATCTTAATATATAAAATTGAGAAATAGAGCCATTCCCTCTCCTCACCTTCTCCTCCCAGTGGCCCCTCCTACCTGCTCTGGAGTGCTGGGGCCTGAACTCTGCTGAGTGGGAGGAGCTAAGGACAGGATGTGCTCTTCTGACAAGCATCTGCCTGGGTTTGTGGAGCTCAGAAAAGGCCCACGGGGAAGCAGGTGAAGAAGCCCCTCCACAAGGCCGATATTGAAGCAGGCCCTGACTGATTATTCTTTTTATTATTTATTTTTCCAAACTGATTTTTCACATGTGGTTACATGCACATACACTACCACACACACCCTCCACACACATACCCCATACCTGCCTCCTCCCCGTGGCAACCAAAACATTCATCACAGCTGCTGTAGGTGGTGAGATTATTGGTGATTACTCTGTTCTTCTTTATGCCTTTTTGTATTTTTACATTTTCTTCAACAAATGGGTTTTACCTAATTTATTATTATTCCCCTTAGGGTATATGTTCATTGTTTAAAAAAATTTTTTTTTAAGGAAAATAGTGAAATGCCTATAGGAGAAAATAAAAAGCATCAGTAATCCCACCAGGAAAAATGTTATAAAACTACATCACTTCTAGGCAGGTACTTGGTAGGCTCTGAGTAGCCAGCAATTTGCAGTTCTGCTTTTGGAAGGGGTCTACTTTGCTTGTTCTCTGTGTCTGATTGGGAACTAACCTTGCTGGTTGTGGCTGTGTTTCTGCAGGCAGAAAACATTGTGCTGCTAGAGCTGGACATGCCCAGCCGGACCACCAGGGACTATGAGGGCCCTGCCATTGCCCCCAAAGTCCAGGCGGCACTGGATGCCGCTCTGCAGGACGAAGATGAAATACAGGTGGATGCGTCATCCTTTGAAAGTACTGCAAATAAGAAATCCAAGACCAGGTGAGTGGCTTTGATGACCTATGTTTGAACAAGGACAAATGAAAGCAGCGGGTGGCAAGAGTGCTTGTTTATCATAAAATGCTTTACAGGACACACCAGAAAATAGTGCCATATTACTCCTGGATTTATTCATTTATTACATACATGTTTATGGTTCAGGCATTATGCCAGGTAGACTGAACACCAGAATGCCGAATGTGCCTGGTTCCTATTCTAAGGAGCATGTGTTCTAGAGAAACAGGGGACAGTTCTTTGGTTCCCACCAGGTACCAGGGACTTAATTTGATGCTAAATTAGAAATTCTACCACATTAAATTTTGGATTAGAAGTTTAAGGAAACAACTGGGTGTAAAACCAAAAATGGAAGAAATTCTTCCTGGAAACTTAATATTTTTTGCCACTTTGGAGAAGACAGTCAAGATATTATTTAAATGGAAGAACAATGGCTGAGAATCAGAGTCCCTTCCGTGAGATTTCCTTCCTTGGTTGGCAGTTGGGTGGGACTGTGCCAGCCTCATGGTTTTATAGCTGAGAGGCCATTGGCGAAAGGGCACCTGGAAATGTTAATGGCACTTGGTGGGGAAGGAGTCTGATCTGTGCAGTGACAGAGATGGGACATATAATAATGTGAACATGTGCTTGACCTTTGCAGGCCTAAAAGCGGAAGGAAGTCGGGATCCTCCTCCTCTTCCTCAGGAACCCCTGCATCTCAGCTTTATCCGCAGTCTCGGGGGCTGGTTCCAAAGTAAAGCCAGTTCCTGCTCTCCTGGGGTTTAAACAGCATTGCCTTCTGAGAAAAGAGATGAGCAAATACCTGCAGAGACGACTCCAGCCCAAACTCAGAACATTCCCCTGGGGAGAAGCGATGGCGTCTTTGCAGATGAACCAACCTAATCTGGCTGAAAGGTGCTGGTCCTAACCTGGCATTCAGCTCTGGGCAACGTCCCTTAATTAGCATCTCAGATATGCATGGGTAAGGTAATGGGCGATAGTCGAAGTGGAAAGCAAGAGGATGACCAGTGACCTTGCTTCCCTTCTCCCTTGCCTTCTCCCCCTTTCTCTCCCTTCCCTTCTCCCCTCTCCTTTTCTAGTCTGTTCTTTATACTGGGCTCCCTTCCTGTTGAACAATAGGGCAGAATCAGGAGTCACCTTAGCAGGACCAAGTCTTCAGAGCCTCAGGATAAAATAACAGTGAGGTTGAAAAGTGAAAGCCCTAGAACTTGAATACGTGCTTGTTCTTGTAGGTTGAAATGAGAAATCTCATTTGGACCCAAACCCCCAGTGGGCATGATCCATGCTCCTCGGTAAGAAGGGGATCTGTCTTTGGGATCTGCCGAATGAGGAAATGTTTTCCGAGGAAGCTACCAATTTCGCTCCTGAGGGGTTAATGTTGGAAGCAATAGAAATCACATTCCCTTTGCCTCCTTGGAGAGTTTAGAGGCATCTTTAAAAACCTCAAAACCATGACCATCCTGTCAAAGACATAATCTGTAAGCTGATGCCATGTCCATCCACCGTGTCATTTTACTCTTCATTTGTCACCATCTTTAGCCAAGTGTGTGTACTCTGAGTGTCCTTCCCAGGCCCATCTGCCTCCTGAGCATGCTCTACAGTGGGCCTGTTTTGTGGGAGAAGGGAGGCTGGCTCTGCCTTCTCTGTTTGGACAAAAGTAGGGGGAATGAGGCATATGGTGGCACATCTGAATTCCCCATTTTGTCCCATATTTACGTAGAGAGCTAAGGGTACTGGGCAGATGCAGAGACAGTGACATGCGGCTCAGGGCAATGTGAAGCGAAGACAAAGGTGGGAGCAAATGAACCTGCCTGCCTTCAGCTGAAACTTGCCCAATCCTAGGATGGTGGCTCTCCCAGGCAGAGCCTAAAGTGGTGGCTAGGAGGTGCTGTGTGACTGCATAGGCTCAGAGGAGCTAGAGATTCCCCGTTTACATATACTAGTTGGTTTATAAGTTTTAGTTCTTTGTATTATTGAAATTCAAAGCTTCATTTTATGTTGGTCATTAGGTGACTGTTAGTCCTTTTTCCCCCAAGAGACACTCTTAAGAGTGTGTGGATGTGCAAGCACAATGGTGCCTGTGTTCTTTGAGTGTGTCCACGTGTGTCTGCAAGAGAAAAAGATAGAGACCAAGAACTTGCCCAGTTTTAGAAATACACTAATGTACAGTTGTTGCCTTTGTCTGTATTAAAGGCCCACTGAATGACTAATCCAGGTCGGAAACACTCCCATGTGGGTGTCTGAGTCCACGAGCCAAGCCTGAGGGGACGGTGTGAGTCCCCGGGTCTGCCTCACTGGTGTACCTTGCTGGCATGGTGCCTCAGGAAGGTGGCGACTCAGGTGGGCCTTGAGTTATATTTTAACTCAGCTGCTCAGTTCCCAGGGCACATTTCTGGATCAACCTGTGGGAAAGAGGAGGTACCAAGTGCAATCACAGCATTCTGCAAATGGAGATCTGTCATCTGGCAGCTTATCTCCTTTCTAGTTACTATTCTTTCTGAACCCAGGGTCCTTTTCAGTAATTCGCAGAGCCTAAAGGAGCCTTCCCTCATCTTCCTTGGGATCAAACCCTGCTTCTCTCTTATTTACTAAGACTTGACCTGTTTGAATAGGAACCGAATGACCAGGTTGTAGCCTAAGATGGTTTTTTGCCAGTTACTCCTGTCTGTTGCCCCCAATTTTTTCAAAGCTCGTATGAATTCCACAGACTGAAAATATTCACCTGGCAAATTTTGAAAACTGAACACTGCAGATAACACGATACCTTAATACTGATGTCTCAAGGTGGCTATTCTGACCAAGGGTGGTTGCGTGACCATAGAGCTTTTCTAAGAAGGCAAAGGAAGAAAGCTAAGTTGACAAGCAGGGTCAGTAAAACAGCCTGCCTCGCACTCATCTGATGGTCTGTGAACAAAGAGGAAGAACACCTGAGTGGAGGTGAGGCTGCCCCTTCCCAAGCAGTCTCCGGTGCTTTTCTTCTCTCAAAGAGGATCCGATAAATATTTGAATAGAGCAGATAGCAGAACCTAAGCTGCTGTGTTGGACTCTGATTTGAGCCAAATGTGTGGAGGACCTCCCAGGCCCACCGAGGGACCAGGTTTCCCTGTCTGTAGTCAAGCTAGAATGTTCCAAGCCATCTGAGGGCCAGCAGCGGTTAGTGAAGTCTGGAAGCCAACCTAACACCATGTAAGAAGATCATCCGAGAGAAGGAGTTTGAGACTGTGCAGCCTTCATCAGGCACCTTTTTGCTCTGATCAGTAGGAATGTATCTGGCTTTATATTTTAAAGTCACCTGTCTCCCAGACCCCTGGATCCAGAACCCAAGGCCAGAAATCATAGGCATGAAGCACTTTCTTAAGACTGACTTAGCGTTGGACTGTTCCCTATCGAATGCCTGCCTGCATGCTGCTTAAATTGCACCATTCACACCTCCATGACCAAGGGCATCAGATCTCTGCAGCTCAGGCATGGGCCGGGGCTGCTCTCTGCTTTTCCTGCCTGACTCTTGGAAGTCCTCCCTCACTGAATGTAAAATTGTTGCCAAGTTGCTGAGAAGTGTCAATTCCCTGTTGTTAACGTGGGATATCAGTTCTGCCTCACATTTCCCACTAGAGGTCAAGGCTCACTGCAAGTAACACCTTGGGCCATCATGAACACCATCAGTGGGCGAAAATGGGGCTATTAATATACTCTAAAAGCCATAATGAAAACGCTCAGAGGAAACTGGATAAGAACAGTGGGCCTGGCTAGTGTCTATCTCACAAGGTTTTGTCTTGTGCTGTTCAGAAATCTGCCACCTTTCTCCTTGCCCTTGTTTCTTCAGTGAAATGCTTTTGAGGTTATTTATGAAATGAGTAATCCTGGTGCAGGAAGGAGGTAGTGGGCTTTATGGCTCTTTAGAGTTAATATTGATCTTGACCTTCTCTTTGGCTACCTTTAGACAAAGAACACGCCAATACTTGGGGCTCTAAGTTTTACAATTAATATTTATTTGTATCATCTCTTTGTCTAGGAATGTAAAAGTGATTCTAAACTAAGATGTGTAATAAAAATCAATCAGATTTATTGTACCTACAAAAAAGTGTCCTCATAAATGACTAATGCTTTTGAAGATTATATTTCTGTGGCAGATGATATCCACTGCCATTTTCTCTAAACATTTTAATTTTTCTAGTGAAAAGAGGGTGGGAGTGGAAATGAAGATTGAGTTGGAATGCTGGTATTTAAAAAAAGAGAGCAACAAGATAAAGGGACTTAAAATGAAGCAAGACAGAGTGACAAGTAAGTGCTTCTCATGTTTTTCCAAGGAGGTTCCTAAGACCAACCTAGGCAACAGCCATGAAATGTCTTTGTAATGATTGTGTTTGCTTTTTAAAATTTCTTTAAATGTATTACATATTATACTTTAAAATACAGGGTTTTTTTACACAATAATATTTTATGTTATTAACCATTGGGCGGGGGTGGGGGGGAGAAATACCAGAAATGGGCCATATGTTGGTCTTGTGGCTTCTCATATTCTCAGGCCTGCTGAAGCATATCCTGGGGGTTGTGTCTCCTGGTTGAGATGTAGAGACTGAATAGAGAGACAGAACCTGGCCTCTGTCTTGGTCTGAATTCTGGTTGTGTCTATTTATTAACCATATGACTATGAGGAATTGAATTTATCTCTGTGAATCTCGGGGTTCTTGTCTGTATTATGGGGTGATAATCCCTGCCTTGTAGGACCTTTGTGAGGATTAGTAATGATTTAAACTTTAAATTTTAAAGCAACAAGCACATAGTATGTAGACTAGAGCAGATATTTAAAATGTACTTGCTGCAGTGACAGAGTCCTGTGTTCAGAAGATATTGAACAATTTGTATCCTAAGGTACTAGAAGCTAGTACTGGGCACATCATGTTCAGAAAATCCTAGGCCTCTATAGAAAAGCTGGCGTTTTTATTTTATTTTTGTTTTTTAATGATTTCTGAGGGGGGTGGGGTGATGGGCAGACAGAGAGGGGGAGAGAGAGAAAGAAAAACATTGATTTGTTGTTCCACTTATTTATGCATTCACTGGTTGCTTCTTGTATGCGCCTTGATCAGGGATTGAACCTGCAGCATTGGCATATCAGGACCATACTCTAAACAACTGAGCTACTCGGCCATTAACAAATATATGGTGAATACCTTCTGTGCGCCATGCTATTCTGGGCATTGGATAAATAGAGGTGGGCAACACTGACATGGTCCCTGAACTCACAGAGCTTGTACTTTAATGGGGAAGGAGAGACAGGATAAGTGTTAACCAAACACACACATGTATAATTACAAATTATGATAAATGCCATGAAGTGATAGTATAGTATATTATATGAGAATAACAGAAGCCTAATTTGGATTGGTGGGTAAATAAGAGAAGGGCCTTCTGAAGAAATGGCATTTACAGTGAGATGTAGAGCAGCGGGGTCCAACCTTTCAGACCTCACGGACCACCAGGGGTCCGAGGACCACTGGTTGGCGACCACTTATCTAGAGAACAAGGAGTTAGCCAGACAAGAAATGAGGAAAAGAAATTGTGAAAGAGTGAACAGCATTTGTGAAGGCCTTATATAACAGAGTAGTAGAATTTTACTAAGAAGGTAGCTGCAGCCCAGGCCGGTGTGGCTCAGTTGCTTAAACACAGTCCCAAGTTATCACTGGTTTGATCCTGGTCGGGGCACATGCCCTGGTTGAGGACTCGATCCCTATTAGGGGGCATGCAGGAGGCAGCCAATCAATATTTCTCATCGATGGTCCCCTCTCTCTCTCTCAAAAGTCAAAACATTTTTTTTTTTTTTAAGAAGAAGGTATCTGCAGTCCTTTTTTACTCACTAGAGGGAAGCATGGAAGCATGGAGAACTATTGTAGAAAAGATTATAGTATAGGACTATACAAATATATTTTTAAAAATATATATTTTATTGATTTTGTACAGAGAGGAAGAGAGAGAGATAGAGAGCTAGAAACATCGATGAGAGAGAGTCATCGACTAGCTGCCTATTGCACACACCCCCTACTGGGGATATGCCCGCAACCAAGGTACATGCCCTTGATCAGAATCGAACCCGGGACCCTTCAGTCCCCAAGCCTATCCATTGAGCCAAACTGGTCTCGGCTAGTATAGGACTTTAAAAAATGCCAACAAGCCGAAACCGGTTTGGCTCAGTGGTAGAGCGTCGGTCTGTGGACTGAAAGGTCCCAGGTTCGATTCCGGTCAAGGGCATGTACCTTGGTTGTGGGCACATCCCCGGTAGGGGGTGTGCAAGAGGCAGCTGGTTGATGCTTCTCTCTCACCGACGTTTCCAACTCTCTATCCCTCTCTCTTCCTCTCTGTAAAAAATCAATAAAATATATTTTAAAAAAAATGCCAACAAGATAATAGTATTTAAAGAGCACAGAGAGGATAGTGGCCTATGTGACTTAGGCAAAAGATTCTTAATTGTGTTCCTTCATAAGATACCCTCAAGCTATGTGTAATGTCCCTATACCCCCCTTTTCTTTTCTTTCTTTCTTTTTTTTTATTTTAATATATTTTATTGATATTTTACAGAGAGGAGGAAGGGGGAGAGAGAGAGCTAGAAACGTCGATGAGAGAGAAACATTGACCAGCTGCCTCTGGCACACCCCCTACTGCAACCAATGTACAACATGCCCTTGACCGGAATCGAACCTGGGACCTTTCAGTCCTCAGACCGACGCTCTACCACTGAGCCAAACCGGTTTCGGCATATACCCCCCTTTTCTGAAAAGAGTTAAAAAGCATAGCTTGGGAGAATCCAAGATGGCTGCTCAGGTAGGCACCTAGCTGCAGCCGCACACAACTATTTCAATAAAATATTGTACAACTAAAATATAAAATGGACATTACCCAGAACTACAGGAAAGTCGACTGACTGGAAATTCTACAACGAGAAGCAAGGAGAAAACCAGAAGGAGGTCCGGAGGAGCTGGAAAAGCCCAAGGTATGGAGACGCGGTGTGCGGAGAGGACAGAGCCGGAGAGGAGGGGGAGGCCGAGTGCCTGGCGGGCGTTCCCTAGTGGGAAGGAGATAAAAGATCCGACTGTGCTGGGCCCCCCCGACTGCTCTGAACCCCAGTTCTAGGCCAGACCCCGGGGACCCAGGCTCATCCATAGGGAGCCGGGCTGTAAGGCGGAACCCCGGGGAGCGGCGAAAGGAGGTCCCGGCGGCGCACACTGCGCGCAGAAAAGGGACGGTCGGCTGTGCCGCGGGATTGCCCTGGTGGGAAGGAGACAGGGGCTCCAGTCTGCTCTGAACGCCAGCTCCAACTCCACTTCCAACTGAACTGAACCCCAATACTGGGCTCATTGGGGGAGAGACTAGACTGATTGGCAGCAGGCGAAAATCGAGGGCACCTTTCTCTCAGAGGCGCCGGCAGCGAGCACTGAAGGACCCGCATAGGGCGGGGCTGACGGAAGGCAAAGCTGCAGGCTCCACCCTGAAACCGCGTCCCATCTGTAGCTGCGAAATGCGACAACGAAATAGATCACAAACGAAAGAAATGGAGGACAAAAAGTGATTGGATATAGAGTTCAAATCTACGCTTATAAAGTTTTTCAAGAATTTCCTAGAAAAGATGGATAAGACCTATGAGGATATGAAAAGAGATCAACTAGAATTAATAAGGAATCAACAAGAAATGATAAGGGATCAACAAGAAATGATAAGGGATCAACAAGAAGTAAAGAATACATTGTCTGAAATAAAAAATATTATACAGAGTCCTAAAAACAGAATGGAAGATTGCAAGAATCAAGTCAAAGAGTTGGAACATAAAGAGCCAGATGACACTCCTCCACAGAAGCTAGAAGGCAAGAGAATCCAGAAAATTGAAGATAATGTAAGAAACCTCTGGGACAACTTCAAGTGAACCAACATCAGAATTATGGGGGTCCCAGAAGATGAGAGAGAGCAAGATATCGAAAACATAATGAAAGAAATAGTGACAGAAAACTTTCCCCACCTGGTGAAAGAATTAGACTTACAAATCCAGGAAGCGCACAGAACTCCAAACAAAAGGAATCCAAAGAGGACCACACCAAGACAAATCATAATTAAAATTCCAAGAGCAAAAGACAAAGAATATTAAAAGCAGCAAGCGCAAAGAAGGTAGTTACCTATTAAGGAGCACCTATACGATTGTCAGCTGATTTCTCAACAGAAACCATGCAGGCCAGATGGGAATGGCAAGAAATATTTAAGGTGATGAATAGTAAGAACCTACAGCCAAAGATAATCTATCCAGCAAAGCTATCACTCAGAATCGAAGGTCAGATAAAGAGCTTCACTAATAAAAAAAAGCTAAAGGAGTTCATCACCACCAAACCAGAATTATATGAATTGCTGAAGGGGGTTCTTTCAGAAGAGAAAGTAAATAAAGATAAAAATTATGAACAACAGCCGAGACCGGTTTGGCTCAATGGATAGAGCGTCGGCTTGGGGACTGAGAGGTCCCGGGTTCGATTCCGGTCAAGGGCATGTACCTTGGTTGCGGGCATATCCCTGGTAGGGGGTGTGCAAGAGGCAGCTGATCAATGACTCTCTCTCATCGATGTTTCTAGCTCTCTATCTCTCTCCCTTCCTCTCTGTACAAAATCAATAAAAATATATTTTAAAAAATTATGAACAACAAATATGTAACTATCAACAAGTGAATCTAAAAACCAAGGAAATTTAAAAAAAATCTGATGAACAATATTAACTGTTGAATATAATAGAATCAGAGGTATGGAAGGGGAGTGAACTGACGATTCTTGGGGAAAAGGGGAGAGGGGCATGTGGGAAGAGACTGAACATAAACTGTGCACCTATGGATGAGGACAATGGGGAGTGGGGAAAGGGCAGAGGGTGGGGTGGGAACCTGGTGGAGGAGAGCAATGGTAGGGGGGGGTGGGGAAAGGAACATTTGTAATAATATGAACAATAAAATTTTATTTAAAAATAAATAAATAAATAAAATCAATACCAAAAAAAAAAAAAAAAAAAAAAAAAGCATAGCTTGGCTTAGCCTAAATAATTATTAGTGAAGAATAGTTCAAAATTCATTAGCCAAAATGCAAGAGTTTCAAAGTA